GAAGTGGAGTAGACCTGATGACTAAGACCTATCTACAGTATAGGTACCTGTGGATGATCCTAAGAGACCAAGTCTGAAGAGACAGTCCCCAGGCAGAGTAGGCCTTATATTTATACCTCTGTGGTGGAACCTGCTAGAACATCTTGCTTACTCAGCCTAGTCAGGTGATCAGGTCATATGACCAAGGATGAGGTCATATGAGGTCATGCACAGCCATGCACAGCAGGTCACCTGACCATCCAATCCTTCCAGCAGGTTCCAGCACATGCCAAGGTATACCAGCTACTTCCATGTCCTAAAGGCTTAGTCATGTCTCTTGACCAAGCAATGAGCTGGTGCCCTGACACTTGCACCACCAGGCCAAATCATCTTCATCAGGCTCTGTGTACAGCAGATAGATGTCTGCTGTCTGCTGCCCCACTTTCCGCCCTATCTCTGGCAATTCCTCCTCATTTTCTGAGCTGTCACTGAGCATAGAGGAGCTCCAGGTTTGCTTGTTCTGACCATGTTTTGAAGGCAGGTTGGTAGAGGTGATCTCAATATCTATACCTAATTAGTTCATGCTGCAATGCACTGAGTACCTGCATACCATTATCTGAGAGCTCCTCAAAGGGCACAGGAGTGAGTGAGCTGCCTGCCATTTGCAGGTGTTTTGTGATAAGATGTATGTGGCAGCACATTCACTGGGCCAAGCTAGGGTCTGACCACTGATGAGGACTCAGGTTATGCCGAGTCTGGGTTAGGGTTAACAAACCCTACCCTCGACCAAATAAGGAAATTGACCAGTCTCTCGACCACAAGGAGGAATCCACCGTCTTCTCCTATTGTGGGGACCTGTAATAGTGGATGCGGATTGGATGTACTTCTAACTGCGTCGTCTGTGCACCGGAAATGCTTCCGTTTGCTTCCGCTTAGTCAGTAATCCCTCTAGAATTTGACCCGGAGTATGTACCAAACATGTGCATCACCCAACCTCCCCCGGACTGCTTCAGGACCGGTCCTGTCCAGTCCTGAACGGTTCAACTTTTCCCAACCTCAGCGGTCCTGGTCCGGTCCTTGAACTGGTCCAGTCCTGAACCGGACGGGCAGGACTGCGGTCCTCAAAGTTCGGTCCAAGACCGATGCCATCCCTACGACATCCCACAGGAAGCAACAACACGTACGGTCATCATGAGGTAGATCTCCTTCGGGAGCATCGCTCCCAGGGCGATCTGAGGGAGTGGCATTTCCCAGGGCTTGCCACCCTCCACGACCTCGTACGCCGCCTTCATCTGAGGGACCGTAATGTCATCCCCCGCCAAAGTCATCGTCTGGCCTTTCCACTGCTCCGGTTGTTCCAGAGCGCATGCAGCAAACCAACCGATGTCTTGAACAGCAACGAGTTTGATGCTCTTGCCCTGCAAAGCAGCATCAAATATCCCAAGGGTCATCATCCGTTGCATTTCCCCGGCCGTTGGGAAGTTCTCCATGAACGCGCATGGCCGGAGGATTGCCCATCCGGGTACTGCACTCTCTCGCAGATGCTGTTCGATGGCATCCTTGCTCTCAAAGTGCGGCACACCCGTGTGCGTATCTGCGTTCCCGACAGAGGAGAATACGACATATTGCACGCCCACGGCAGCGGCAGCGTCGACAAAGGCTCTGCCGGACTCAGTCTCACCCTCTACACCACGAGCCTGGTAGTCCGTCACGAGGAAAGCACGCTCGCACCCTGTAAGCGCGGTGCGCAAGGAGCCAGAGTCGAACATGTCCCCTTTGACGACCTCGACGCCTTTGGCTTTGAGGTCGGAGGCCTTCTCGGAGCTGGGATTGCGTGTCAGTATGCGGATGGTGACCTTGTCGGACTTGAGCAGTTCGGAGACGACTGAGGAAGGCGATAAGCGTTAGATTCCCCTCTATCGATTGAAAGTACTCGCCCGCTCCTCCCTGAGCTTTATTTAATAAAAATATTATATAATTAAAAAAAGCGCCTGTGGCACCCGTGACAAGGACAATTGGTTTACCTGCCATTTTGTTTGATTGTGTCAGGTTGTTGTTATTGCGTATTCGCACTTCTTTCTTTCCCTGCAAGGTTATATATACATGCGATATACCGATGAGTAGGAGCGTTCTTAAGATACACGCTCCAGGCAACCTTGCTGCTAAATCTTCCTTGTTTTGGCAGCGGGTGAGGAGCAATGTACTGGTTAAGGGGCGGGTGACGTCATTAAAAACAGGTTGGGGCACGAAACTCTGATACAGTGGAGTACTAGTCAACATACGATCATAACCGTTTTCCTCGTCCTCGGCGGCTCACTGGTATTTTTTAAACATGTAGTTTCACTGGAATTACGACTTATACCAGCGTGGCTCATAAATGGACATTACAGCGGAAGTGCAACAAATTGTGGTTCGTACATTAGAAAAAAGATCACTGCTGCTTATTACTCTTCAGCCACTGCTCGAAAGTCAACAGGTCAGGGTGGATTTTTCTCAGAGGAGCGATATCAGCCTTGTAACCCATCTCCTTAAACCACTGCAGTGTCGTCAGTCTCTCGCTCAAAGGACAACAGAATGCAACGCACGGTGAACATGCTGTTCATCTCCTTACCCATCATCGGGCCGAGAAGTGATGCCGGCGGTGTCCATGCAGCCCAGGGCTTGTGTCCCACGGCTTTGGCATAGGCCTCCTTGATCCCACCGATATCCAGGTCGTCGCCTGCAAGAGTCGTGACCTTGCTGTTCCATTCCTCAGGGCTCTCCAGGGCACGGGCAGCGAACCAGCCGATATCCCGCACTGCAATAATCTGGAGCGACTTGCCCGCGAGGAGCGTGCCAAACACGCCCAGCACAACGAATCGCGCCATCCCGCCCTCGGTGGGCATGTTATCCATGAACGCGACAGGGCGGATGATCGACCAGGAAGGGATGCCGCTGGAACGCAGGGCTTGCTCTATCTGGTACTTGCTCCAGAAGTGCGGGACGGAGGGTGCTTTGTCTGCCCCGCCCACGCTGGAGAATACGAGATGCTTCACGCCAGCCTCTTTTGCCACTGCGACGAACTGCTTCCCTTCTTCTTCTTCTCCTTTGACGCCGTTGGGACCAAAGAATGTCGTCACGAGGAAAGCGCGATCACATCCTGCGAGGGCGGTTCGGAGGGAAGCTGGGTCGTTGAGGTCGGCTTGGACAACCTCGACACCGCGGGAACGGAGGGACTCGGCTTTAGCGGAAGTAGGAGAGCGAGTGATAACTCGGATGGCGAGTTTGCCAGACTTGAGCAGCTCGTTGATCACTGTGAAAGGATGATTAACGAATGAACTGGAATGCAGCAATCGAGGACTTACCGGCACCACCTTGAGCGCCTGTCCCACCAGTCACTAAAACAGTAGGCTTCGACATTTTTCTTGTTGGTTGGTTGATGTTTGTTTATCTGAGTTCAGTACCTAAAGTGGTTTGTGTTTTGTTGGCATCATCTGGCCTCATTTCTGTCCTCTTTATATTCCCGCCGCCGTCGGGGCAACCAGCCCTCCAGGCCGCGTCACCTGCGCCGTCCAATGAATGATGAACATGTCAACGTGCAGAACAGGGCTTTGGGTCAAGGGTCTTGCCTTATCAAATCGGCTGACCAAGGCGCGTGCGGGATATACTCTGCCGCAGCCGCGGCAGGCGCTGACAAGGGCTGACAATACGGTCCATTGTGAGATGACAAAATGGTCGAAATTTATGGAGCTGAGAAATTCTTGGATTTAGAGTAGGAACCGGGTGCTGCTGGAAATGCATAGAAAGTGTCGGGGGTGCAGTGCCGCGTCTGCGCGATCCGAACGGAGGGTCCATTGATGACGGCTTTAGCAACGAATCTGTAATGCGATTTCAAATTATCCAGTTTAGAGAGTTCCTGTGCTTGTTCTGATCTTCATTTTCGCCAAGTCTTTGTGAACTGCAACAACCTCGGCCTGGTGGTTGACATTCCGATGCGTCCCTGGCCTCTGTGATCCCTGTCCGGCGAACTGCACGAACATCCTCCTTCTTCCTCGGGCTCCTCCACTCCCCTCGGTCGCCAGCGCCCACATGCGTCCTCCCTTTCTCTCTCGCCCTCTTTTCTCCTACCTCATCCTCCTCCTGCTTACCATGTCCACGTCTGAACAATCTCTCCCGCGCGTTCTCGTCTACTCCGCGACAGCAGGGTACAGACACGAGTCCATCCCCGTGGCTATCGACTCCTTCAAGAGGCTAGGACCGCAATATAATATCCAGTTTGACTTCACGGAAGATAAAACATGGTTCAATGATACCGGGCTAGCGGTATACGACTGCATTCTCTTTCTAAGCAACTCAGACGAAGGTGAGCCTTCTCCTTTGCCGTCGGCGTAAAGAGGCGCTCATATCCCATGAACACGTACAGTGTTGGACGAACCAGGCAAAGTAGCATTCGACAACTACCTACAACAAGGTGGTAACTTTGTAGGGGTACACGCTGCCTCCGCCTGTCTCTACACCACTACCTTCTTCGGCGCCGAGCTCGGAGCATGGTTCGACTACCACCCAGCAATCCAGAACGCTACGATCGTTGTTCTCGACCCGACACATCCTAGCACTGTCATGCTTCCAGAGAGGTGGGAGGTGTATGATGAGATGTACAACTTTAAGAGCGATCCCAGGGATGTGGGGGCTAAGGTTATCCTCACTGTTGACGAGACGAGCTATGTCGGTGCGTCTCTTGACACTCTGTTTATCCTGCTCGCGCTCTCGTACCTGCTCACGCTGCACCTAGACAACGGCACGCGACAGTATGATCAAGGCACCCCCCACCCAATCGCATGGTATCAAGACGTCGGAGCAGCATACAACGGGTCGATCCCCAACACGCGGGGCGGCCGCTCCTGGTACACCTCTCTGGGGCACACGAACGACACGTGGCAGAACGCGACGTACCTGTCGCACGTTATGGAAGGCTTGAAGTGGGCGCTGGAGAGTAACACTACGCGGGCGTTTAATGCTAGTGGGTTGGTGGGTAATGCTGGGGCTGCGAATGAGACGACTGGTGGAGGGAACACGACCACGGGCGGGGCGGGCGCGCAAGGAGGCGGGAGCACGAGTGGGAGTGGGAGTGGGGCGGCGCCTACTTCGGGGAGCAGCGGAGCGAGGCATGTTGCAGCGGGTCTGGTAGGTGCAGGTATGGTGGCTGCAGCTTTGGGCGTAGCGTTGGCTTGAGGTCGGTGTGTATGGTATTGGAATAGGGTTGGAGGGTTTGTATGTTAGCACCATTGACAAAGATGGACTGTATCTCTACAAGTAATCTGTGCGTGGGAAACCGAGTTCTGCCTTTAATTATGGTGGTGGTGGACAATAACAATGGGAAGATGTTGGAGGATGTTGATTAATCACGTGATTATTTGATACCAAGCTGCAAGAGGATCTGGTTATCGAAGTATTACCATACAGAATATTACGGAAGGGGCTTGGCGTATTACCAAATAAGTATTGGATACTTTGTATTCTGCTTCTATTTGCGTTTGAGTTTTTGGGTCGCTCTACGCAAAAAATCCGTACATGACTCTGACGTACCCAGCGCGAATCCTGACTCGACCACAAGACAACAGTTTGCACATATCCCTATCCAAGCCGAGGTCAACTTGCCAAATTCCATCTATCCGCTACTCAACTTGCCCTTCCTTGGATCCAAGATGGCCCATGCAGCGCACCTTGCATACCACCAGGCCATGTACGACCCCTCACTCGTCCCAACCCCAATGGCTTCCGCGGCTCCCCAAGCAGAGCGAGAAAACGAATATGCACTGAAGTATGGGGATTTCACGCGGAAGGTGAGAGAGTTTGGAATTGTCGATTCGACATTGGGAGGTATGTGCATCGTGCGGTTTGAAACGTTAGGTTTTGAATGGATTTTGGTGTAGAAAGGGAGCAGTTTGGCGAACATGGATTTAGGCCGACAGTTAAGCTCCAGATCGCCCGCCAACTGGACGCGTGCGGAGTGCAGTATATCGAGCACTCGTCTCCGGCTACCTCACCCCAGAAGGAGTCTGATCTGCATGCACTCTGTGCGTTGGGCTTGCGGGCGAAGATCTTAGCGCCATTGCGATGCGACATAGAGGATGCCAAAGCTGCGATAGGATGTGGCGTGGACGGTGTAAACCTGGTTCTCGAGCCACTGAATGAGCGTTTGGAATCTTCCCATGATGAAGAGCTGGAGAGGATCAAAGCTTCCATCAAGCGAGTGGTGGGATACGTCAAGAGCCAAGCCCTGGAATGCCAGTTATCGGCAGAAGACGCTTTCCGCTCCAACCTCGTCGACTTGCTTAAGGTGTATAAGGCTGTTCAGGAAGCTGGGGTTGACAGGATAAACATGGTGGACTCCACGGGGTGTGCTAACCCGATGAAGATATGGGAGGTCGTTAGGACTGTGAGGGCGGCGGTGGATTGCAGCGTGTAAGTGCAGTTTTATAACGATACCGGCTGTGGTAGGTCGTTTTCTTCCCAAGGCAAGAAAGTACTGACAGGAGCAGCAATCGCAAATGCGTGCATAGCGCTTCAAGCAGGTGCTTCACATATCACCACCTCTGTGCTCGGTCTCGGACCGCGAGTTGGGATAACTTCACTCTCGGGATTCCTCGCCAGTCTCTCAGTGTCGTCTCCTCTCACGAGCGAGAAATATAGTCTCCCTGCGCTGAGAGAGCTGGAGATAGTGGTGGCGAAAGAGGCGGGGATAGAGGTACCTTGGTTTAGTCCGGGGACGGGGTCGGCGGCGTGGAGGCATTCGGGGGGACGGCATTGGGCGTGTTTGGAGGGAGAAGGAGAGGGTTGGGGAGAGGTGTTGAAGAAGGAGGACTGGAGGGAGGAGCGGGTTGAAGTGGTCTAATCAGAGTAGTATTGCATAGCGCGAATCCAAGTTTTAGGCCTCAAGGTTTTTGAGTCAGAAGCAAAACAAAGTCGTATAAAGCTTGTGTGCACCCAGTGCATTTCATGATAATATGCAGTACCTTTTCATATTGTGTGTGAGAATTAGGCAGGGCTAGTGAACAGGTATCCACTCCCGAACACATTCAGCAGTGGTCGTAGAACATGGAACACACCCGACCCTTTGATGTGCACATGATTTGAGTGGGGGTGCTGCTTCCCCGCATTGTATGACTCGGATATAAATTTGCTTTTGCTGCATCCGTTTCGCCGAGCTGTCCGCGGTTTCCCACAGCGCCTCTTTTTAGTCCAACCGGTAAAACAACTTCGTCCTTTCCCCCGAACTGTTCTCTTGCCCGAAAAATTCCTGACTCGACTCATTATTCTACAAAACACAAATAACACAATAATTTGTTGCTGCTGCTCCTACACTTGCTTGACTCCTCCCTCTCTTAACTGCACGCGACCCCACTACCCATATTCAACAACTCTGCACAAAATGTCACACCCCAAGCACACCTGCCACCATACCGAGACGTATGACGAGCCAAACAAGGAGATGGTCCCTGTTGACCTCTCCTCTGCACCAGCAGTCAACGGCAAGCCCAACGGAGTGAACGGCAAGACGAACGGGGTCAACGGTACGAACGGAGTGAACGGGCACGGGGCACATAATGCCGCCAAGCAGTTCAACCCGTACGCACCCCGCTATGCGGATTTCTTGAGCAACGTCTCCAACTTCAATATCATCGAGTCTACACTGAGAGGTACGTTTTATCCTCCACCTCCTCCACACGCCTCCATCTTTCCCCAAGCCCTGTATACTCACCTGTCTACAGAGGGAGAGCAGTTCGCCAACGCCTTCTTCGATACCGAGACCAAGATCAAGATTGCCAAAGCTCTCGATGCCTTCGGGGTGGAGTACATTGAGCTCACCTCTCCTGCTGCGAGCGAGCAGTCCCGTGCCGACTGCGAGGCGATCTGCAAGCTCGGTCTGCGTGCCAAGATCCTCACGCACATCCGATGCCACATGGACGACGCACGTATCGCCGTAGAGACGGGTGTTGATGGGGTGGACGTCGTTATCGGTACCTCGAGTTTCTTGCGCGAGTTCTCCCACGGCAAGGATATGGCATACATCACCAAGACCGCGATAGAAGTGATCAATTTCGTGAAGAGCAAGGGCATCGAGGTCCGCTTCTCGAGCGAGGACTCGTTCCGTTCCGACTTGGTCG